GGTGTCTAATGCTATAGGAAAAATTTAGTCTATGATTGAGATTTTTCCTTAAACATTCATGAGCAGTGATGCCTTGGTCAGCCTAATGCAAGAACTGCACTGCTTTCCAGCAGATGCAGAGGGCTACACTAAATTAATATACTTAATGAATATATGGGGATGGCAAAATGCAAATAGGAAATGGACTTCACAAATTATATCACTAGGGTGAGAGAAAATAAAATAGGCTAGCATATTTGGAGCTTAAATTCTTTCCATTATTTTAAGCTTCCCATTTTGGAGAGCTTTTCTCACTGGAGGTTGAACATTATTAAAAAAACATCAAATGCATCTTCCTATAATTTGATGCCATTAAGTGTTTGGCTGAATGCAAATATTTGGAAGAAATGGGTCTTTAGAGGCCAGCAGTATGAGGGTGTGTTTCATTTATCTAGTGAGGTCAATGAACAAGCTCCAGACAGATGTCGTTCAGCTTTAGACCAGTATGTAGACTTATAAGATTTTGAATGTATTATAAATGCATATATCCATGTGCCTTATTGTGTGTATATATATATATATATATAAAAATTTGATCTGTGTCTAGATCTGAAAAATATAATTTTAGCTTCCTTTTCATGTTTCTGGAGCAAATTTCACTTTTGACTGGGTCTCTTGAGTGCATCACACGAGATATGAGTGGTCACTTCTCACAGGGACAGTCAGTGGAAATCACACTCTTACTTGCTCAGAGTAGGCTTTGGATCTTATAATCCTTAAGGTTAATTGCTTCCACCTCCAGAAAGAAAGGCAGATCATTTCCTGTCATTTGGTTTCATCTGGAAACAGTATTATTCACTAACTAGGAAAATTAAGCCATATTAGTCTTCTTAAGAGGATGTGGAGTTCTAAAGAGTAAAGAGCACAATCCCACATTCCTGTTCGAAAGCGAGAGGTAAGAGGAGGCCAGGACTGCTTCAGATGCTCTTACAGAGCTCTCTTAGGCTCCTGTTTCCCATTGCTCTTCCCAGACAAAGTTTCTGTACAGTTCCTCTCACCCTTTTACCCACTCAGTCTACATACACCACGAAATAAAAAAGGTCCAGGAAATAAGCTTAACGCGTGACATCCTTGGTCATTGTATTGCCTGATTGTTGACTAACTTCCCAGTCTTGCTTTGGACCACTACAGCTACTGCTTTCCCACTGAAAACCTGTGTGTGACTCGGAGAAGTTTGCTTTATACCCCCTTAGCAAGAGGCAGTACAGAGCAGGCTGCACCACTTGGCTCCTTCTTCCCTCCGAAGTGCCCCATCCCCTTGCTCAGAGGCAGCACTAACTAACCACCTAGTGCTTTCAGTGCATGGGCTTGTGTATGTGGGCAGCACTCCTCCATGTTGTACGCTGAGACCTTTGTCGTGTCACGTTGACAAACTCATTTTCTTGCTTTCCTGATTCTATTGATTTGGGGAAGTCTAGTCAGCCTGACACATCCATAAATTGAATATATAAAAAAGGTCATATATAATACTCGTGACATTATTAAAGGTTGACATTCTGATGTTAATCCATACGAGCTGTATCCTGTCACATACCAGAATGCTTGTGCTTGTGGTGGTGATCTAATCGTTCACAAATGAGGTGCATTTACCCTTCCAGAACTATTTGCAGATTCAGCCAGCAAGAGAGTCAGTTCATTTGCTGCATTAAAAACTTGTGTGGGAAGGCCTCCATGTCAACAAATAGCAGTTCACGGCTCAATATTTGGAAACACATGAAGCAATTTTTCCTAGACAGGAATCTCCTTTTTGCTTTGAAGCTTTGAAGTGATTCAGTTCAGTTTTCCTAAAGAAAAAATGAAATAAAGTCTGACATGATAATCCATCCATGTCCACAGAATTCCTCAAGGTAGCTCTGAGATTATTGCTTTTTGTGCAAATGAAAACAATATTCACAAGTTTCAACAGCAGGTCACATTTTCATCAGTTCATAATCAGTAAAGTGTATGCATAGGTGTTTGCAGATGTATATACTGTTTCTCAGTTTTGAATCCATGACATGAGAGTACTAGTTTTTATTTATACATTTATTATGATTATCAGTGCAACTTTAAAATATTGCCTCTTGAAAGACTGACATGGATTTTTCAAGAACCCTAAAAGCATTCTGAATGCATTTCATATGTATTTTATTCTTTATTCTTAGTTTGTGAAGATTGTATTTGTAATTCATTATTCTCCACACTTGGAGTACTTCCAGTGGTGGTTTTGGCTCTGCAGTGTGATCCTGTTGTGCTGGTGTAGGTACCTTTTTAGGTCAGTGGGCCTCCAGTGAGAAAAAGCATCATCAGGCCTTATTGCAAAGGACTCCGTGTTTAATGGTTGTACAGGATGTTTTTGTGGCTGTATCAAATTGATGTTGAGTATTTGCACACCAGTATCTTTTTACATCAGTTGAGATATTTTTGAGATAAGTTCAAAGAACAAGTAGGGTTATAGGCTACAAAAAGTCAAATGCATAGTTGGAAAATTTTACTTTCATGCTGTTTCAGTGGATTGGTTTTCTTAATATCTGCCTTTAGTGGATATTGCTTTAAGACTTCACCTTTGTACAGTGGGCAAGTAGCCCAAGGTACACTCCAGACTAGTGAAAGCTTTTATTTTCTTCACAGATGGTAGTTTCTTCTATAAGAACAATCTGAAAGGATACTGTGTGTGTGGCATGGATATAAATTAAAGCTGGGTAATAAGGGACAGTGGGTTCTTCTGTTTTTAATTAGCCTGGTATTCCTATAAACTTGTTTTCTAGTATGCTTTAGTTAAATAAATATGTTTGTTCCATACAGTTGAAAACATTGATGTATACTGAGCATGAATGCAACATAATTGGGCTTTATATTAAGAAAACAACCCCTTTGCATTCAAGTATCTTTGGATATATGTTTAACATCTGATGTCTGCCAAAACTGTCTAACCTCTCTAGATTGCGATAGCATAAAATGTTGTGATTCTTAGCCACACTTCTTTGTGATCTTAGCTTTAATACTTGTAATTAAATCTTATATTTCACTCTACCCTGTTACCTATTTAGCAAATGTGCACATTTTTTTTAGACAAAAGTAGGTTAACAAATTTAAAAAGTAAGGGTGGGGTTTTTTTTTCAGCTTTCTCCAAGTTCAGTGTTTAATGTGTAAATGTTTAACAGTATTACAGGTCATTTTAAGAGTGAGAGCTCATGAGCAACTAAGAATTATTTCTGCAAATCTGTAAAATCTAGTAACGATGTTTAAAGGATTTTGAAACCTTTGGAGCAAAACCCCTATTGTAATGGACATTTTACACACATCTGAAATGAAGATATGAGGTTCTGATAGGGAATTACTAATAATTTATCTCTTTGTATATTGTCAATTCAATTTTACATTTATTGCTATCACAAGTCCTGTCAAACTACTTTATTTTTCTTTTTCTTTTTTTTTTTTTTTTTTTTTTTTTTTTTTTTTGACACTGGTACTGTGTCATATGTGAGAGCTCAGGGTACCAGTAAGTTCTCCTCGAGTGTTTGGTTGCCATCTTCCAGTGAAACACCTGTGCAGATCTGAGTGTGAGGAAAATGTGGTGTGTTACAGACTAATCTCAAGGAAGTGCTTAAAACGATAGTGAAAGTTACAGGGAGGAGTGAGAGCTATCATATCTGCTCAGCTTCAAATATCCTAGGCAGCTGATGATCATTGCTGCCAAAATACCAGCCCTGGAGACTCTCAGCACAGCAGATAGAAAGGGAAGCAGCGTGAGAGGCCGTGTAAACTGGGACCTGAGCTGCCTTTGAGAAGAACTATCTGACGAGTTTGGACTGCTGCATACAAATGCCAGCTTGCCTGCTTTTCTAGTTCCCCCCAAAAGTTTTGAGAGGTTTGAGATGTTCCTGCAAAAGGCTTAGATTCAATTGCAGCAGCTTTTTTCAATACAATAGTGCTGTCAGTAAATGTTTACCTATTAAATTTCTCCAGAGTGTTTCCTCACAATGGATGTTTTTAAACCAGTTTCGTTTGTTTCTTTGTTTCCCCACTTTAGAATAAAATTTGTGAATGAAAAGAAAGTTCTTGCTTGTTTCTCAGGGGTACTAGTGATCAATAACGGTTCCAAACACCAGGGCGGCTCTTCTCCACAAATCTGTGATTCAAATTCGTCTTTCCTTTAAGAACTCATCAGGCTGTCAATCTCTCTTATGGTCATGGACTCTCCTCAGTTTTAGTAATCCTTGTGGGAAGTGGGTCACATGTTTATTGTCTTTGGCATCCACTGTTTCCTCTTTTTTTTCCTTCTTTTAAGAAATATTGCCATCTGTTGTGTATTTTTTAAAAGATATATTCTGTAATTTCTCCTGCATCACTGTCTGTTCCTTTGATCAGTTTTTAGTCATAAAAAACCCAAATGACAAACAATCAAACAAACAATCAAAACCAAACAAAAAACCCTGTAATACTATCAAAAACTTTGAATGAGACAGGGCTGAAAGGCAGTTATCTTGCCATCAAATGCTCTTTTGTAGAGTCCTCTTTCTTTTTGTAACAGCCTCTGAGCACACATTTAGTCACACTCGGTTACCAGCCCTTATTCTGCTAATCTGTAGTAATGGCACCGTGGCAAAGCACAAACAGAGTTAACACAAAGGATAAAGCAATGACCTTGTAAGAGTACACTGTGCCCATATGCGGAGAAGAAAAACTCCGTGATGCTTTTGATGGTAGAATACAGCGAGCTGGACCGGGGCTGCCCGGCACAGTCATGAGCGCTGGACACCCAGAGCAGAGCCTGTCTGGCTAGTCATGTTCATGCAGCTCATAATCCCTGCTGGACGTGAGCTGGCCTCCTCAGATGTCATGGGCCCAATGCCCTGCAAGGATAGTAAAAGGTGTGTTTTTCTAAACCTAATGCTTGAAGATAAATCCGACTTCCATGTTAATATGAGTGCATCTATCACAAGAAAGTGATAAACAATCTTTTCTTCTGTTATTTTCAGAGCCAAATTTTGTATCATCTTATGACATCGGGAACTTTACCTACTTCTTCTTCCGGGAGAATGCGGTGGAACATGACTGTGGGAAAACAGTCTTCTCTCGTGCTGCTCGGGTGTGCAAGAATGACATTGGTGGCAAGTTTGTGCTGGAGGATACCTGGACTACCTTCATGAAGGCTCGGCTCAACTGCTCTCGCCCTGGAGAAATTCCGTTTTACTATAATGAACTACAGAGCACTTTCTTCCTGCCAGAACTGGACTTGATCTATGGGATTTTTACCACTAATGTGTAAGTAAATTCCATTATATATTTTATTTTAGTGCTGTTTGTGTCAGTAAAAAATAAAAGCTTCTGAATGGCTCTCTTCTGCATATCCCAAGTAAACATCATAAATTAAAACTGTGTTTTGCCCAATCTCCTTTGAACAAGTGTCTGTTCCAAATGCTTCCCACATGAATTGTTGAAGGAATATGAAAGAAGGAAGAATTCTTAATATTTCCTTACAGAAGGGAATCACTTGTGTTTATGACTATGCAGTCATCTTTTTCAGACATTTTTATAAAACTATTATTTCCTTTTTTGCACACTGTTGTAATACATAAATGCATTATGTATTTATGAAGTAAACATTTTATATTTGTAGTGTGACATGATCATGAATTTGACATGATGTAATTTGACCATGTCAGGAAGGGCTCCCTTTACCCAAAAGATCACAAGAGGTGTTCTTACATATTTTCTGTTAGTCCGGACATATACTCATGTGAGTTTGAGGGTCAAGCCAAGAATTTATTCTAAAACTGAACCTATTATATCAACAAGGTGTAATTAAAAAATTTACAGTTTGGTCTTAAAAATTCAAATTTGTCAAATATTGTTAAATATTGGATGGACATAAAAACCCCATAGACTCTGAGCTTGATACCAAGAGTTGCTTAATTCTTAGGAAAAAAGAGACATTGATCTCAGAAATGTCCTTTCTTTCTCTAAACGTGATAACTGGAGCTCATATGTTGCTGGGTGGGAGCAGCCCATTCGTTATGGCTGTGCAGCCCAGCAGTCAGTCCACTGGAACAGAGCTTCAGATTTTGGGTTCTGGTTCTCTTTTCTGCTTGTAGTGTCTTGCTCTAGTAAGCCTGTTTTGACGAGAATTTTCAAGGTATTTGGCACCTGAAAGGTAGTTCAGTGCCCCATAGTACTGCTTAAACATCTGGATACCTGTCAGCATCCATTAACCGGGTGGAAACAGTCACAAATTAATGCCAATAAATTATGATCTCTAAGTACTTTAGGCAGTGAGCATGAATTTGAGCTTAAGCTAGTTTCTCATGCTTTTGGTACAGCCCTTTATTGACACATCTAGTCATCTTCCAGACTCAGGCTTGCTCCTGGGCTGACAGCTCTGGCTGTGAGCATGACTAGTGAGGGGTTGCTTGCACCGGGCTGTGAGATTCCTGACTTGTGACAATGGATGGTGAGCTTAACCCTGTTCATGCAATGGAGTAATTCAGTGAATCTGAATGCTGATTTTTTTAAAGAGAATAGTAGAGACTTTGGGGCTACTGGAGATAAGAAAATTTGATGCTGTTTTCAACAGTAATTTCAATTTCATTGATCTGCTTTACTAGCTAGTTTGAGTCTTAGAAGACAGATGTTTGTCAGGTGGCACACTCACACACTGTTCAACATGATCCTTCATGAGAAGTCAAAATAGCTGTGACATGCTTCTGCCACAGAAAGCCCAATTGCAGGAATTCTCCATAAATTCCACAGGGCTTTGACTATGGAAGGGGAATGATATTCTATTCTCAGAGGAGCTGTCCTGACAATCTGGGCAATAATGGAGCTTCCTGTGCTAACAATTCCACAGCTTCTGAGGTTGTGTAAGGATACCAGGGCTGCCATCAGCATACCTGGGCTCTTCTGAAAATGCCACATGAAAGTAGGCAGTATTTGAAACCTTGCTGCTGCTTCCCTCTTCCTCAGTAGCTCAGCATTCTGCCTTGTCCAGCAGAGATGGACCATTGAAAGAGGAATTAATTACAATGCTTTGGGGGTGGGGTTTTTTGAAACCTCCATTGAAATAATATTTTTTCCTTCCAACAAATATTGCAACTAAATTTTTGGATGTTGCTGAAGTGGTCTAGACTTAGGATTACTTCCCCATGTGGAATACCTGTTCATAGATACCTGCACAACCCATATGATGCCACCTTTCAGCCCTGCAACCTGACTGTGGAGAAGCACCAGGGTTTCCCATGATGGCGAGCAACATATTCCTTTCTGTTGGTGTAAAAGAATCAGATATCACTAAACCACATTCAGCATTTTCGGTCTCAATATCTACAGAATTGCTTTTTCTAATATACTGTGAATCTTTTTGTGGGGAAAAACCTGAAGCATTTCAGTCAACAAAGATTGAGTAATCACAAAACCTGCACACTTTGTGTTGTTGACTGTTAAATCCACAATAGCCACTGCTTCATAATGAAGCTGATTTTGTTTCTTTCAGGCCATCTGAAAATCTATAAGCATGAATCTAATGTCCTTTAATGACTTCAAGGAATTCAAGAAGATGTTGCCTTGGTTAATAATATTAGTGAGCTGCATTTAGTAATAGTTTATATGGGCAAGAAATTATCAAATCCAGTGATAATTGATTCTGCAGAAATTGTTTACATGAAACTTCAAGTTTTGGGGTTTCTTTGAAATAAGAGTGTCAAGAATAAGAAAGCAAATTGCTTTTCTGTCCTGCTAATAAATCCATACATCCTAACTCTTTTTTTCAGTTGTTCGTAGAGTTGATCTTCTAGGGTTATTTTTTGTTTCCATCATTCTGGAGTTTCTATAGTAGACTTTCTTAAGCTTTGTGTAAATTACAGGCTGTTTAAAAAAAAAAAAGGAAAGAAAAAAGAATGCTGTGTGGATCCATTTTCAGCAGTTTAACCTACAATGGAAATTCGTGCAACTGCCACCTTCATTATCTATTCCCTTTATCTCAAATTGTGGAAAAGAACAAGGCAGTTTTCTGTATTACGAGCTCTCATAGTGACTGGGTTATACTGTTTACACTGTGCAGAATTACTTTATTGTCATGTATATTACATATTCAAGACAAGAAGAGGAAATTCTGTGTATCGCCTGGGTGCTGTTTATTCCTGTTTATTCTTCTAACGGGCTACCCTGTAAAATATGCCATCCAAGTTGTTTTCTCTTGACATGTTTCTGGAACTTACATTCTTATTGTTGTAAAACATCTCTCGGATGACAGGATTTTTGTGGAGATGTTTTACCCAGGGCTTCTATAGGGTCTAGAAACACAGCATATGTCGAAAATCCTTACTTTTATCGTGATGCCATTTGTTGTATAGAAGAAACATTAATGAACCCTGAGAATAATCTTATCCTGGATTTTTTAACTAGAAGAAAGGTGTCCCTGATGCACCTGATTATGTGCAGAAGTATGGCCTTGTGGTATTATAGCAGCAGGAGAAGGTAAGAAGTTCTGAGTTTCTCCCACACCAGCTACTTGGCAAGGCTGACAAAAAAAATTAAAAAAAAAGTCTGTGCACAAATCCGCACATCATATGTCATAATCTTGAGATATCATCTCCTAGCTGATCATATCTGCTTTGTTATTTGAAGGATTGGAGAGTTACTGCCTTTTTAATTTATTTTTCAGCAAATGGACTTCTTAATGTTGTTACTTAGGTTAATGTTTATATTTCTTTTGCAGGAACAGCATAGCAGCCTCAGCAGTTTGTGTTTTCAACCTGAGTGCCATAACTCAGGCTTTTAATGGACCCTTCAAATACCAGGAAAACTCTCGCTCTGCTTGGCTTCCATATCCCAATCCTAACCCGAATTTTCAGGTACAGATGTGTGGGAGAGGGAAAATAGTTTACATGAGGTGTTTTCAAAGTGCTGAATGGTTCATAGTTGATAAATCCAGGTTTGTCATAGCCCAAGACCTTAAAAACTTAAGAGGTCCTCTTATTTCAACATATTTTTATCAGTCCAAAAAATAATTTGGGTTGAAAAGCAGATGTGCTTTGAAGGGTAGGAGAACAAAGCCTTAAATTCAATCTTCTGTCAGAAAGAAACACTATAGTTACCTGCGGTGGTAATATTAATTCCTGACTGAAGTATGATCAAACTGCAATTCTCTCTTGCGTTGTATTTGTAGTATTAGAACATGAAAAAGGAACATAGTTTGACAGGAAAAAGAAAGGGGACTGGGAAGGGGCATAAAGGAGGAGTGGTCAGGATTTTGTATATTTTCCTGTGTGAGGCAGACAACCCTCCCTAAAGAGTCCTATTAAAAGAATTTGTGACATGGTGTGTCCCTTGTTTGAACTTGTCAGCCTTTGAGGGTGTAACGATCTGCAGTTGGCTGACAGCATAAAACTAATTAGTCCAAGGTGGGTCACTCAGAGGAAGTTTCTCCAAAAAGAAAAGGGTATTTCAGGTAAGCATATATGCATTGTTTTCTTCTTCTGCATAATCACCACTCTACTAGACTGTTTTAGTGAGTGTGATTCTGGCAAGGGAAATGGAAGGCAGAATATCATTAACTTAGTGATTAATAACAACGGCTTTTCACCAAGATACTTAAGTGTATTCATCTTTAGCTATCTTTCACCCCCCCTTAATCTCAATGCAGCTTCACGAGTTCAGTGCTGTTCCTGTAACAGCCTTTCCTATGCAAGTATGGAACAGAATCACCCGCTGGTGATTGTAGGTAGTTCTACTTCCTGATTCATGCAAACAAAGGAAAATAAGGCACTGAATTTTCTGTGACTTACAGGCCAGAGCCACGTTATCTGTTCTAAATAGTATGTTTGGCATTAGCCCCAGGTGACAAGACACCACTTAGGTAAACCGTATTGCAGAAGTAGGCTATATTTGTATGTAGCTTTTTACATATTGCAGAAATACTTGTATTGTCAAAATGGTGATAGAAAGAGGGTCTAAATATTTGAAGGAGAAAGCCTGAAGAAAGGCCTTTATATAAAAATCTTATCTTCTTTCTGACTAGATGAGCAAGTCCAATGAAAGTTATTAAACCTTGTATTAATGTGTTGATAATTATTGTGAGAGCACCCCATGTCTGAAGAATGGTACCTACAGACAAAGATGACAGCTTGATAGCTGTGTATAGATGGTTTAAGTCTCTGTTGTACTGTTGGTCCTCATCTCTAAATCCCAGTCAAAACTGAGGTGTGGAAGAAGTTTGTGGCTTGGATAGCGTGGCTGATTTTAATGCAGCTGATACTTCATCAAATTTACAAGAACAGTGGCAATGGTTATATCTCATTGAACAACAGCTTTGCAGACCAGCGCTCATATTAAAAGCTGTAACATGGCCTTTTACTGCACAGTATTAAAGCAAATTGACATTAACTGATCTCTAGGTATCATTGGTGATGTCAAACTTCCGTTCTTTTGCAGGTGCTATCTTTTATTCCGTTGATCTTTCTGTTAGATTTCTGGCTCCATAACTGCAGCACTGGTGTATGCCAGAAGCTAGTCTAACGCTTAGAGCTAGGTGTAACCATTTTTTGTGACCTGATGGTGCTTTAGAGTACATACTGCACATAGATGGGATATATTCATTGGCTGAGTCACTGATTTTCCCAGAAAGAAGGACCTTTGTAGAGTGCTTATGATAAAATATCGGAAGTTCTGTTTGTGTAGCCTCAGAAGTAGATTTACCCTCAGAGTAATTGTCCTACTCAGCAATAGCAGACAGAAGTATGTCATTTCAAGGAAGACTACTGCTGTGTAGTGATAGTTACGTCGGACATTATATTTCCAAGACTGGATTATATTAATGAAATATTTTCCAAATTAGAATACTACTGGAGTCCCAGTTTTGAAGAACACTGTTATTCTCCAGAGATTGTTGCTTTTATCTTTGCACAGGACAATCTCCATTGTAAGACTGAGGACCATGTGGATTTCAGCGTAATATGAGCATTCCAGCTGGAATCTTTCCTGTTTGATAGATTCAGATAAATGCTTATTTGGCATGGTGTATTTTTTTCACTGTCCTGACATGCAGGGTGCTCACAGAGCAAGTAGTTATTTCCTACCAGTTGGTTAACTGTCTTGCATCATTATATGATCTCTCATTATGAAATTATTTATTTGAGTTTTTCTTAACATTTGTGGATTTGGAGCGATCACTTACTTTCCGATTGAAAATATGGCAATAATGAAAAAATAACTAGTAGAGTTTTGCACACTGTTTTATTTTGTTCATGCTATAATCTGTAGCACAGTTTATGACACAGTAGAACAGAATAAAAAAGTATGACTTAGGTATGTCTTTTGCATAACTGACATTTGATAAATGTTGTGAAGTACTGCTTTGCTTCTCTGCAATTACACGTGAGTAAACATGTGGATGTTTACATATTCACTTGTGCTAAGCAGCTTTCTCTTTTGTGTCCTTGGTTAGTTGAAGACTTAAACACAAAGATGCTAAATTAACTGCCAATTATTTTGCTTTGGTTATTTGTGCTTGAAATTTGTTCCTGCAATTAGTGAATGCTTTCCTCCTGTAAGAAAAAAAGTACAGTTTTAGGTATAAAATACAGTCAGTTCCGAAGCAAAAATGTCTTTGCTCAGGGTAACGCTTCACAGTTAGAGCTCCACGCTGTCCATTCGTGGCTGGGAAACGCCATGTCTGAAGAAGTTGATAGAACTGTGCATGGTGGTGTGATCTGGGATCTCTGTCAGACCCTGGCTGTGGTGGGGCACAGGATTTCCTTTGAAAATTTGTTCTGTTTGTCACACTGTGTCTGTGTAAATCACAAAGAAAACCAGTCAGAAAATTCTGTGTGTTGTTGAATGGTAGGTTTTTTCCTTCCTGCCCTTTGAACATAGAATATAGCAAAATATTGCTATAGCCCACTCATGGTGGTCAGTCTGGGGCCCTTCCATATTGTTTAGAGTTAGGGACCCCCTGTATTACTGCCTTGGGAAAATGGAGCTCCTTCAAATCACTGTGTGGGCAGTCAGGTCAACACCAAAATGAGTCCTGAAAGTGAAATTCCACAGTATCACTACAAGATATACTCTTTGGTTTTATTTTCTTGTGCTAAATCAGAGACTAAATTTGTTGTTTTTATTGACACATACCATAATGTTACTTTTATGTGTTCACAGTGTGGCACCATGGACCAGGGGTTGTATGTAAATCTGACTGAGAGAAATCTTCAAGATGCTCAAAAATTCTTCTTAATGCATGAGGTCGTTCAACCAGTTATTCCAATTCCTTATTTCATGGAAGACAACAGCCGATTTTCCCATGTGGTTGTGGATGTTGTGCAGGGGAAGGACATGCTTTTCCATATCATCTATCTTGCCACAGGTATGAACTCTTCATTACAGTGGTAACTGCAAAAGTTTATGAGGTGCATGAATTTTAATGTTCTGTATATCAGTTATGGAATATGTACAGTGCATCTTGAACAACAGCTTTTCCTCTTTGGCAGCATGAACTCTACCTTCTACCTTTTCTGAGTAGATGAATTCAGCAGTTTGCAATGTCTTGGTTTATTGTGAACTCAGATTTTGGTGTCTGTTTCCTCTTCTCCTTTAAAAGTATGAAGGCTACATGCTCCTGAAGGAGCGAACAGTTGGAAATTCTACAATCAGGACTTCACAAGTTTCTCTGTCTTTTAGTCTTTTTATGTAGTTCAGAGACAATCTCAACAAAGATAAGATGGTTTAAGGTCCTCTGAGATAGAAGTAACTCTGCAAATAGCAAATACAATTACTGCTATTGCTATTTCTGACTTCTGCTCACACACATTTTATTACTTTTCATTTTGTCTAATTTTAAAGTCATTCATTATGCAGCTTTACACTCTGCCATATTATTTTTCCATTTATATGTGAGCTTAGCAATGAAAGAAGAATAATCCTCCACCTAAAATTGTCTTGGTTAGAAGTATTGCTTTCTTGGTTCAAAATTTTAAGTTCATAAAAATAGTGAGGGTATCAGAGAAATGTTTTTGCAGAACAAGGATGTCCCCAGCTGAGACTGAAATACTAGATTGGACTAACATGCTTAGAGCCTCATGGCATAAAAATTAAGGGCAATTCTCAAATACTTACTCCCATGCAGTTTAGTAAGGGATAGTTCATCAAAGCAATGATTTGCTAATGTGCATAGTTTGCCTCACAGTGAGTAGGCTCCAAATACCATATATTTAGGAAAAGAATCTGTCAATCAACCAGAGGAAAAAAATCCTATTCCTATTTATTTGATCTTGCAATCAATGATGTAAATTCCAAAATTGTCATTGATTCAGAAGAACAATCATTTTAATTACTAAAATTATTATTTACTAAAGAAAATTGTATATTTTGTAGTTTATCATTTATCAACAGCCCAAGAAAAATGTGTATTGTGGTTCAATATATGATTTCATTTTCCCTTGAAAACATTGTACTATTTTTCAAAGATTGCCTCTTTTGAGGCAAGCCTGTTGAGATGGAGGAAATTTTATAGTAATTTGATGCATTTCAATGAAACAGTATTTCTTTCAATATTATCCTTGTGCGTTTCTCATTGTGCTCCTTGAAAAATACGCAGTAATACAGAAGCTTTTAATAGGTTGTAACTGTGCTTGGATTTGACCAATTAAAGTCAAAACAGCCCACTGGTTGGTAAATCATAGAATTTTAAGTGAAATCATGCCAACACTAAATACTGTTTGTGTTGTCGAAGTCTCCTGACAATCTGAATTAAAGCAACACGTAATGGTTTTATATGAAGAAACTGTCACTGAATTGTGGGATATTTAAATTAGAATGTTGGCATCAAGCATGATGTCATTTGTCATAATTCTGATTGTCTTCAGTTTTCAATTTCCCTTACTGTGTTTCCTTTTATGTTTAATTCTGAAAGTGAGGATCTAAAACTTAAAGTTACATGGTTCATAGAAAAGTAAACATGAGCCAAGACTCTGTCCTCACGGCAAAGAAGGACGACAGTGTTTCGGGCAGTATGAACAGGAACATAGCCAGTAAATCAAGGGAAAAAGTTATCCCCTTATACTCAACACACTTTAGACCACATCCAGTTTTGGCCTGCCCAAAATACAAGAAGGACGTCAATAAACTAGAGGAAATCCTGTGGTGGGCCACCTCTTGTTGGAGGCTGGAGCTCCATGCCCTAGGAGAAGAAGCTGAGGGAACTGGTCTTCCTTCAGGAGGAGAGAAGGCTTCAGGGGGAGGCAGTAACAGCCTGGAAATACCTACAAGGAGTTTACATGAAGAAGGGAGTCAGGCTTATCAGAAAAAAACAAAAGAAAAACTTTTTCACTCCAAGGACAGTCAAGCAGTGGATTGGATTTCCTGGAGAGGTTGTGCGGTCTCCATCCCTGGAGGTTTTCAAGACCAGACATCAACCCAGTATATGTTATAGCTAGCTGCCTTTTCAGCAGATGGTTGGACTTGAGACCTCCTGATGTCCCTTCCAACCTAAATTGTCCTCTGTCTGTCGTATGCCAGTACAATGTGCGAATTGGTTGGGCTAAATTACGTTTTTAGTCAACACCATAATAACAGATATCACTGTACTTTCTGCTGCCAAAAGGGACGTGCATTCAACTCTAATAGTAGTATTGGTAGTAAACAATTTACGCCTACTGGTGTAAAGCAGGATGGATCCAACCCACACTGGGTGAGATGCAGTCTGCATAACTTTTGTAGTTATAATTCATTAAAATATTCTTACAAAAATAGTCTTTTAAAATGCACAATACTGATTCAGTGGAAAGGTAGACATGTAGATTGGATTGAATACAAATGAATGCTCTTCTGTCTTTGTTACTTAGAGCAAAAATCTCATTCTTTGAGCAGATGGGCAGTAGTTAAGAGAAAATTCTTTTCCCCTCCCCCACATTCACTTATGTATCCACCTGTTATTAGAATACAAATATTGCAGAGGAGAATAACCCTGACAGGATAAATGTGTAATCTAATTTCATTAAACCTTAAATAGAGATAATATTACTTGAGGAGAGACTGGGAGTAAGCAAACAAATGCATTAATCTGCTGTGTCAACAGTCTTCATTTCCTAAACCTTTGCCAAGTCATCATTTTGCTAAGAGGCTCTGATGTGCTGGGATTTAACAGCTACTGCTCGTATCAAAAATATACTTTAGTACTGTGGAAACATGTCTTAATCTTTCACTGCACTAACTTCTAAGACAGAATGAAGGGATATATCAATTCCTGCACATTTTGTCTTGCTTACGATTAGCAATGCTGCTGGCTTTAGACAGGCAGAAATCCCTGGAACAATTTTCAGTGATTCAGAAAGGGAAGTGAATGAAAGCATTCACAGAAGTTCTGAGCTAAAAATAATCTATAATAATAAGTTAAAAGTAGAGCAAGCTAGAGAACAACCCAATATTCTGACAACTTTTCATGTTTAAAAGACTTTACTTCCTTCTTCCTTAGAAAAAAATCAAAGCAAAATGGTGCTATTTATGTCTTAGTTTTGTTGCACTTGACTGCTGCTGTTGACTTCAGACATGACCATTCTCATTTGGTAACATTTGGCGCGTTGTATTATCTCAAGTTTGTTGAGGTTATTGGAAGTAATCTGCAGATAATTTTTGTAGAAAGGAGCTATATACCTACCCTCTCATTTTGAGAAGCACCTTTTTAATCTAGAAACTACAGCATAAATGCAATCATAATAATAATTAAAGTAGTCATTTTGAGTCACAAATCAGGTGTGAAAGGGGTAGGTAGTCTATTTTTATGTATTAATACTTTCTAGTTCAAAACCAAAGAAACATTAGAATCAAAGTGCAGATGGATAATGGGACAGGCAGTCATCACCTTTTAAAACTATGTCTTTTCTGTTCTAACAGAAAACACGGTTGCTTTGTTTCTTATGCCTTTCCTTGACAAAGGCATAGTGTGCTTTTACACAGTTGTAAAGCACCCCTGCAATAGTTTTAAAACTACTTCCCTGCAATTTCTTACACTGCTGGCCTTATGCAATGTCATTTTAAGAGGCTTGAAGCAAGGACAGTCGTCAGTGACTCTGCTGTCTAAAACTGGTGCCTGTTGGAAGACACTAGTCCTAACAGCAACATGATGATCTTAATATTTGTTAAAAAAAAAAAAAGGCAGAAATAAAAAGATTATTAACTTATTAACCTTATTCTATGCTCCTTTTGCAGTGACCACTGGCTCTGATAAAGGAAAACGAAGGCTGAATAAATACTTTGTCTTTATTATTAATCTTTCCAAGAAACATTTTCCTGCAGAGTTTAATAAAAAGATTTAAAAGATTGCATGTCTTTGTCTTCAAGAGTCTAATGTTCACTCTGGGATTTATACTAATGTTACTCAGAATGCTTGCTATAGATTCCTGCTAGAATATTTATGTTGTTTTCCATGTAGAATGTCTTTAAAGGCAAAGAAGGATGGTGTAAACTATAGTGGGTTTACTATGTAATTTAAACACCAAAATGTTGATTTGCCACTGCCTTGTGTATTGTGTCATCTGTACTGGGCAAAGTGGCTTTAAAATGTTACCAAATGAGAATGGTCACGTCTGAAGTCCAGGCTACAGAGTTATAAATGATACTGTAGGGCTCTAGAGAATCAAACCCAGCATATTAAATGTCCAGCAGTACTGATTTCCCTTGGCTTTATCACTGTGTGTAGAGATAAATCATTCTGCCAGCTCCAGTTGGAGAGTGCTAAAGAGGTTTCTTAATAAATAGATGGCTCTAACTAGAGCTGGTTAAATTATTCATTAACAGCAATTTATATGTGAAAACCGTAGCTCTTTATTTGGTTCACAAATTACCCACCACTTGTTTGTAGACATTTTTTGTTATTATAATCAACCCATAAATAGGTCATGATTTTGATTAGTTTGTTGCTGATCTTTGCTCATACAGTTTGTTCATATTTTAGATAACATGTTCATGAATTGCCTGCTGCAAGTAGATGGAATTTGTATTCTGTTCTCTCTTGGGAGAAATTTAAGTATGAGAAGCCCTTTTTTTTTTTCTGATCACAAATTATCATTATGTCTTTATAATTGCCCAGCTCTATCTGATAAGGACTATAAATAAATGTCCAAAGAACATATGGTGTGTGCACTTCTGTGCCGCCACTGGAAGTCAGAATTGCTGCAAGAAGCAGCTACTGGCTGAAAGAACAGCTGGCTCTGCATGGGAGCGAGACTAATGCATAGGCCAGGGAGGGAAAGATTGCAGAGAGCTGGAGACAGTCTCAAACTTCCATTAAAAAGAGACCAGCTCCTCTTTATCGCAGTGACGCTGAGCTTTCAAATCCTGTTTGGTTACTTTATAAGCTTAGAATGCACA